TTAGCAATCATCTTAAAGCAGGCTTTGCCACACAATTTCTCTCTGACATTACAAAGCAAGCAGTAAAAGAATTCTTCATTTGAACTATTTCACTGTCAGCAGAAATCCCGCAGTATTGAAACTGGCAATTGAAATCAAAATATCCTAACAAACCAGTCCTAACAAGGATTCATGGTGTTGTGAGGGGGAGGGAATACACAGTGAGTTGTGTGTTTGAGTGTGTCTGTGTGTGCTCCTGAATGAAAAGCAGAAACCCAAATAGCTGAGCTGATTTGCCACAGACAGACCTGGGTCTGGGGAGACACCAGGCTCGTCTGGGACCCCCCGAACTGATTGTCGTGATCGTTGCCCAGTTTGGTCATGTGACGCTTATGCAATGTTGTCCAACCTGCAGCTGGGGTGGAAATCAGTCACCCAACACACAAACCCTCTTTTCTTTTCCCAGACAAGAGCTTTTTGGTAACAACAGCCTCTTTTGCTCACATGACCAAAAGAGCATCCTGTCAGTTGAATTCATTACTTGCAACAATTCAGTATGTTGGGTTTTTTTTCAGCACATACATGAGCACGAACACTCACTTAGCCTTTGAGTGCATTTCCTTCATGTTAGCGCAGAAGCATGGAATTGTACTAACAACTGGTTATGCACTTTTCACATATTATCATTTCTATTGTGGGCCTGCAGGGCTACAGGGGAAACAGTCGCTGCTCCACTATAATCCTCACTGAGGTAATGAGGGTTTTAAAATATGACGTGAGGCTCAGTGAACCTAAAGGTAAAGAAGGGCAAATGCAACAGAGCGCTAACTTGGAGAGAAAAAGATTAGATCTTGCATTTAAACAAATAATTGACCTGCGTCATTTAAAACCTTGAGACTTTTAGCTCTGCGATAATTTGACTGAAAAGCTTCATTTTTAAATTTGTACTTATTATTTTTAAAGCAGTCAAAATATACTTCTTTGCCAAACACAGACATTTGATCTACAGCTGATGGATAAGTGTGTGTCTGCGTGGATGTTTGTGGGTGTACATTCTGCGCATTGGCTGCAGACACCTTCAGTAAGCTTTTGTTTACAATCATAGGTAATATGATGGAAATGAGCGTGTCCTTGTGTTTTTTTTGCAAGAATAACATCTATATTTTTTATTAGTGTGGTAAAACCAGAGTTCTCTCCTTGAAGTGAAGACAGGGCCACATAGAGGGCGGTTTTTAAATAGAGTCCAGTCCCAGTAGGCTTCTGGTTTTGCCATATGCCACTACAATTCACAGTTATTAGCACTAGCACCTTACAAGCACACAAGTATGCAGATACACACACGGCCCCACACACACACTCATAGGTCATAGGTCATTTGTTGTCAACCATCTCTGTATTATTTCAGGCTACATGCTGTTTAAAGGCTTAACTTGGCCAAAGTAGAAACATGAAAGCGACCCCCAGTAATAAATTCATTCAGGGATGAATCACATTGTTTTAGGTTAAACTCAATACACCACGATTTTGGAATATGTGTCTAAATTGTAAGAAAAATTGGATTAAAATTGCCTAGATGACTTTTAATCTCCGATTCATGTAAAGTTTTCTTTCTTTCTTTTTTTCCCCCTTCGCCAAATTTACCTGGTACAGATATTCTCTAAACGTGGAATCCATATAACGCTCAAAATACCCCGGATGTACGGCTGCATGTAATATTTCTGGGTATTTTATTGTGGAACTAAAATCATATGGACATTTTTTCCCCTTTCCCTAATATCCAAGGGCCCTTTATCCGTGTATAGATGTGGGTGGGAGGCTACAGACTGTCAATCATTAATGCTTCATTGATCAAGGACAATCCCCGTCGTAAAAACGGTCTCTCTCTCTCTCTCTCTTTTTTTTCTGCAGAAATCTCTCACTCCGCATTAATTATCACTCTGCCTGTTGTGTGTGGGCGTGCGTGCACACACGCGTATTAGCGTGTGTGCTCCTGTGTGCAACTAAGCACCCTTTTGAATATTTCGCATTGCACGCACTCACTTGAGAAGGGCTCATGATGAGATGAAATTCCAGCACCTTCTGCTAAAATACAAGTTAGTATTCAAGCAATGTGGCCGAGCGTTTGTGAAATCTCACACAGGGCAGTGCACACAAAACTCGAAAGAAGAAAGAAAGGGGGGGAAATGAATTAGCCAAGTCCATCTTAACGTAGGGCATATTTTGATTTTTAGCAATTGAGGGCTGAGGTATACAGGCTCTCTGAAGTGAAGTGACACCAAACCAGCCTGAGATTTTCTTTTTGCTCAAAAATATATAAATTACTCGCTTTTTCTTTTCTTTTTCTTTTTTTGGCTATCCATTTAAAAATAAGATTCTTAGATGGATGTCTAACACACACGCGCGCGCACACATAATTTACCATAAACCTTTATTTTTGCCTTAAATAGCTGTCCTTAAATTCCCTTAAATCTACCTTTTTAAAACCACACACACACACTAAAAAATTCCAATAAATAAATGAATAATTACAGTTTTTAGTCATCATCCATACATTGCCAAATAAGAAAAAAATAAACTACGGCAGTTTGCTTCTTTATTATTCAAAATAAATACTACATTAAAAATAAATAAATAAAATAAAACACGTCTTCAGTAATATTTCAACCCACATTTGCAGCGAGGCAGGCAGGATCAAGAGTATTTTCAGTAAATCCTTGAGTCAACAAACTATTGCTGGAATAGTAACAAGGGACATGCAGGACCGTCGTTTAAAAAAAAAAGTCAAATATTTTGGCTGCACCACATTCACGATCGTCTCTCCAGCCTCTCCACATATCCATCCGCTATCTCGCCTCGCTCTCGTATTTTACACCCCGATCTGAATTTACCGAAAGCCAGACAAACAGCATGCGACGCGATCATCCGATTAACTCCAAGTAAATTTCCTGCAAACAAATCACGCTGGATTTTTCCCCCCATTTTTATATCATCAGCAGCAGCAGCAGAAGCACGCTGACCGGACTACGACAAACCTCATGCAGCCACACTTTAAAGCGCTGAAAGACTCCATGCAGGTTTTCTTCTCCATTAAAGCGGACCTCGGCGGGGTGATCCACAACCGGAGCTTTTTTCTGTTTGTTTGTTTTTGGGGGGTTTTCTTTTTTTTCTTTTGCCCCCCTTTTCCAGCGCCCTCACGTGCAGCCTATAACCCGAATCGTTTCGTGGCTCGTTTCACTTGTTTTCATTACTTTTCATAAAGCCCCGGCATCGCTAGTCGGCATTTACACGAAAACTAACCTCCATTATTTTAAATATCCAACACATAATTTCCCCCTCTCTGCAGTATTCCCTTTGATTCACGCTTGACTCATATGGCTTCAGGGCCAATAGGGGTCCGCCTTTGGGGCGCCTTAAAACCGTTTCTTCTTATCCCCCCTTTCATCATCTAACCTGGGACGCCTTGAAACTGCAGGGCCAGTTATTGCCTTTTTTTCCCTCCCGGACAGCCCAATGCGGACTGGCCAACAGCCAATCAGAGTCTTGTTTACATTCTGTGACTGACAATGCTCTGTCCTCGTGCCAGCCAATCAGAAGCAAGCATACAATAGGGGATTCATTTGTAAACATTTAAAAAAATGCAGTAACCAATCCATAGTAATAGCACTGCGTGGATAAAATTGGGGAATCTCTATCTTATCTCCATGATTCCGCATGGAGATAAGATAAATTGGTCTTGCAAGCATTGGTCAGAAATGCTGTAATGGCTGTAAAGAAGGGGAAAAGTAGAAGTACACGTGTTTATATGTATCCCCATGGATGAACGCCTTGAATTGCTAACAACATTTTAAAAGATATGGGCTATTAATCTATAATCTATAAATAGTCTGCTTGTACTTGGTGTTGCAATGTTTTGTTTTCAAAACTGCATTTGTGAAAAAAAACTGTATTATTTTATTGAACATTTTAAACACTATATATTTTAGCGATGAAAAGACTGCTCAGATGGTTTGTAGGCAAAGATCCCTTGTTTAGCTTTAAATAAGTAATTAAAAAAACAAAAACAATTTAATTTAACATCTTCAATAGGGGGTGTCAAACATAAGGCCTGGGGATCAGATTTAGCTCTGCAAAGACTCCAATCCCGCTCCCTGTACAGCTTTAGAAAGTTGTGCAAAGATTTGGAACATTTAACTGTATTTTTATAGGTTTGATTATTGATTAAGACCCCCACCCCCCACTGCCATCCACACTACACCAAAGTACAAGGACGTTTTCTATGAATGAAAGAAAGCTTTGTGTTCTAAATGTACAATTACAAGACAGTCTGAGCAATGAATACGTGTAGCCTTCATTTTCACTGGCCCAGCCCAATTCACATCAAAGTGGGATGTATATGGCCCAAAAAGTAAAATGAGATTGACATCCATGCTCTACAGTGTACTCTTTGTTTTTTCTTCTTTCTCTCTCTCTCTCTCGCTTGTTTACACACACATACACACACTCACACACGCACACACACACACACACACATATGTGTGTGTGTGTGTGTGTATGTGTGTATATTAAGTGTTTATGCTTTTATGTGGATTATTGCTCATTTGTGGCTTTAGATTCTTGGTAAATGGTTAAAACAACTCTTTTTTTTTATTAGTGTCTCTTCCTTAGAATACTTTGGTGCACTGCTATAAATAATTAAGTGCACATGAATGTAATATGTGCCGTTTAATTCTTGATTTTATACTATCATCAAGCCGTTCTCTATCTTAGTTTTATCTGCGATAGATTAAAAGCTGTGCTCGTGGTGCACTGCGCTCTATTGTAGCGATTTGTGCATCCAGTGCTTTTAAATCTGGCGCTTTTCACTCGTTTTATCACTGCCAGTCACCACACCATTGGTCTCTGCTGCCAGCCAATCGGAAACCACTCTGTCTTCGGGCGGGCGGCACGAGCTCATTAACATGCAGGTATCCGACCAATGGGAGGATGTGTTTACCCTGCCCTCGAGACTCGAGGTACGCAGTTGCACCGGGAGAGAAACCGCTGCTCGGAGATCCGAGCCGCAATCCAGCCAGGCCGGAAGCCCCGGTCGCACTGCTTCCATAGAGTGAACCAGCAGGCTACTGCACAGCCTCAGATGGAAATAGTCTACTGTAGGATTACACTCTAGCCACATGGTTTATTTCAGATTTTGATTTAAATGGGCGTCGCACTTGGCCTTGCACCTTTCCTCCTTGAATTTTGTGATTTTATAATTTATGGTTATGCAAGGATTTAACATACCAGTAAGTAGTAATTTTATATACCTGATTTTCTTTAATTTTAATAAAACATACCAGGGCCTGTTTCCTCGTTGTAAAATGACAGATGGTGTAGTAAAAATGCAGATAAAAAAAAAATGCCAGGCTGTATGTGGCATGCTGTGCATTATAGAGTGCCTTGTTATAATTTCTAAAATAACAAAACAGGATGAGCTGTATCTTCCGAGAAATAAATTGTAATTTTATACCCTACATTTACATTTACATGACATAATCAAGGGCCTATTATTATTATTATTATTATTATTATTATTATTATTATTATTATTCACTGTAATATTATACAACGACTACTAATCAACGACCTCACAGCTCTTTTTTATTATCAAGAAGCTTAGCTGTATTATATTTTATGTGTTTTTATATTTTAGTTTAATTATTTTTTGATTAATTTTAATTTCGGCTATTTAAATAATAATAAAATAAAAAATAATATCGTTTGATTAATAGTTTAGAATACTGTGCTTTATGTATTGGTGTGTATATATTATGGCTGCCAGACGTATAAATTCCTAGCGGAAAATTTGCATACAAAGAGAACGGGAGGAATGTCTTCACACACCCCGGCCGACGTGCACTCCTTGCCGGCCAGCTCAGTCGCGGAGGGCCGCTTGTCTCGCAGCACTATCCGACCTATACCGCGTGATTTGATTAACTATCTGCTTTCCTGCCGTCGACGCGATCTTACAAATGTAATTGACATTTGCTTAATCAATTGTATTATGGTCGTCGATCCTTTGATATTTTTTTTCTCCCGTTATTCGAACGATTGTTTGCTGCACGATTTCGCAAATTTTAGGCTAAAATAAAAAACAACAACAAATAACCGCATGCGATTACACGGCAGCAATTACATGCCAGTGCGTATAATTTTGGAATATTTAGAAAGCTGGTAAATGCTCAGTAGTGTTATTCTTACAGGTCTGTTGGCATACAGGAAAGGCTGAACGTAACAGCATGGCGAGGGGAAGGTAATGGCCGACTGCAAAGCACTTTCTCAGTGTGGAAACAAAGGCAGTCCTCCTGACGGGCGGCCATTCACCTTGGGTCGCTTTGCAGCCCAAGAACGCAATCTTCTGTTATCATGAATGCTATAGCAGGGCTTATTTCACGTTTTCGCGTTGAGGATTCACATGCAAGCTCACACATTACCTCAGGAAGGCTCGGTCAATACGATTTTTTTCTTCTTCCCAAGGACCTGCGTATGGAGCGATTTTATTGTTGTTGGTGTGGCATTGGATTGGACGCTGTAACTGGCAACATGGGGAGATAATGGTGCTGAGAATGAAATAGCTTAAATGATAATATGCCTGCTCTCTATTGGACGTTGTAAAAAATAGTTTTAATGTAATTACATTTTATTTTAGTTATTACATTTATGAGACAGATATAGATTATTATCTTGGCAATCCATTTGTAAAAGCTATTGATGACCTCAGATGGAGAATCTATAATATAAAATGAATCTTTTACTTATATTTTGGAAATTACTAGAGTTGTTTTTGAATCCCCCCCCCCCCAACAGCCAGTACTGAAGCACAATATAAGCTTTCCCCTTTTGGGAGACCTGTTAAAATTCGTAATATATATATATATATATATATATATATTTCTTTTTTTTTCTTTTTTCTTTTTTTTTACAGTAAAATACAGTTTATTTTAATTTTGAGAATGGGCCACTTTCCCATCCAGACTAAATATTTCTATTTTTGTGGCATGGCAGAGGATGTAGCCTGTAATGTATTTACTACTCCATTTGATTACCTGACCTGAAATAGGTCAAGGCAGACGAAGACAGTGAGAGTGCAGTTATTCACATGCGCACACACATATACTCGCGCGCACGTGCACACACTCGCTCACACACACACTCAGGGAGAGAGGGAGAAAGAGAGAGAGAAGGGGGGGGGGGGGTGAGTCCATGCCTTTCAGGAGCTGATGCATCTCTGTTATAAGGCTGTATTTTAAGTATATTATTATTTATTATTATTAATATTAATATTTTCAATACAATTCTTACGATTTGTGTCGAAACTCGGCGAACTGACAGCTCAGACTTCCCCTTCAAATAGTTTATTTTATTGTCATATTTATTAAGAACTGGGATTTTTGTAGCTTGAAAATGCTGCATGATATATTCGCGATTTATGCCACTTAATATCGTTATAGAGCAAAACGGTGCCATGCGTAATGAGAGGTGGATGGAGATTACAGAGGCACAAAAAAAACGCCATGCATCAATCCGAGACAATAGGACGAGCTAGAGAAGGCAGGCAGCGTTGTTCACCTTGAGATAGGCTGAGTAGGCTTCCATCATTTTTAACCCTCCGAAACAGGACGACACGTTTCCTCTCCCTATCAAAACTACAAAGCGGGGGTAGGGGGGATTGTCAGATTGCCGCAGAAATCACAGTTGATCAAAATCATTATATTGCATGTCACTGTGCTTTTAGAGATGGTGACATCTGGTGACTGCTGACGTGGATGTTGAATAAAATGTTTAGGCTCGACGTAATCTGAGCATTGTAATACTTTGCATACAAAACTGAACATATAGAAACCTAAAATGTGTCACCCTGCTCGACGTGTCTGTGAAATCTGAAGTGCTCCCCTCCATATTTAGGCCTGTATCCCAGGCTGATCAATAGAGCCGGAGCTGAACCCGGCTCAGTGGGCTTTCGGGCGCCTCGGTGGTCGTTTGTATCTGCCATGGCTTATTTTCTGTAGTCAGTTTTAAGTCGTAAGGTTTATTTTTTTATTAGCAATATTTTAAATATATATCCTTAGTGTGACAGGAAGGATATTTGAGCAGAAATAAATGAAGCGGTACTAATGATGTGTTTTCTCCCATTTATTTTATAGTACTAGACTGCAGTAATGTTTTGCATCGTGTTAGGCTTATCTTAAATGAGCTTTCCATTTTTTCCATTTACTGAACATGTCTCTGAATTTCTCCACTGACAGAAAAGATGATCGGGGGCTACGTTTTTGGCTGGAGAAGCCTGCGATCGACTGAATGCAACACATAGATACGAGGGAAAGGATTATTATATGGGTTGCATTTGATTTTCCTGACCTGCCCTATCCGGATTTCGGATTACTAAACATTCTTCGGAATGGAAGGACGGGATTTCGCTGCTCCGGCGCACCTCCTTTCTGAGCGGGGCGCCTTGGTGCACCGAGCCGCCTCTCGGATCGCTCCCTCGGGCCACAGCTCTGTGCAGCATGCCGGCCACTTCCCGCCGGGGAAATACTACCCCTCACACATACCAATGGCTCCCCACTCAGGTTAGTCAAACGTATAATGTGTGTGTGTGTCTCCCACACAGCAATACTGTTTTTCTTTTTTCTTTTTCTTTCTCATTTTGTTGTGCCATAAAGCCAGCTGTGCATTTATCAGCCCGAATACAAGACGGTGTCGGGCATGTATATGGAGTCGTAGCAAGCTGATTATTTTTGCACAAAAGAGAATAATAGAGGGGGTTTTTCTGTTATAAATTATGGGCTGCTCAGGTGTGACTGTTTACAGGAATCCGCTATGCAAATATCAGCTAATAAATCAAGAGAGATTTGATTTACACAAGGCCTTAAACCAGGAATTGTGATTAAGCTGAATCAACATTTATCTCAAAGGTAATGACGACATCTTTGTTAAACAAATAGTCACTTGATAAGATGGGTAAATGCCATGTGTTTAAGAGCTGTTTTAGTTTGCACGTAGGAAGCTGGACAGAGCACAACGACACTGATTTCCTGCTGGCTCGCGAGCTGAATTTGAAATGAGATTTTGTCACTTCACGTTAAATTGTAAAGTGTCACAATGATGCCATCGCTTAACCAAAACCCTTGGTCATACCCAGAGCCATAGGCATGGAATGGATGGATGGAATGGATGGATGAGCAGGTCTGCATGGGTTATGGCGTATGAAGGTTATAGGAAGGAAAGCAATACTAATCCTCCTTCTATATTGGGCTTTGAAGTGTCGGGGTGCAAATGTGTTCACAGTGAATGCATCAGGTTTAGCAAGTGACTTGGGTTTCATGTGAACCCAAATGTGAATGTTTTACAAACGGAAGTATGCACATTTGTGTCTGCACAGAAGAGTCCAAAATTTACAACCCTGCAGAATTAACTCCAACAGCTGATATGTTTTTTTTTGTTTTTGTTTTTTTTAAAAGGACAATAAAAGAAAATGATGCACAGTCCCTCCACCCCACAAAACCTTGGAAGTGCTCCTCTTTACACATTTACTTGATTTGTGATCACTTTTTGTGCCCACATTCAGTTTTTCTTTTATTCTCTTCACACATTATTCTGGATTTAATTAAATATATAATTGCAAGAATTCAGTTCAGACAGGGAAAAAAAGATAATATAATTATATTGCACAGCTGTTTTAATGGACTGGATCACAAAATGCATGTTGGCCCTTTTTATTTTGTCCACCCATGTAAAACAAAAGAGATTTAAATAAGATAAGTCAAAACAGAGGCGTATTGATTGCATCAAACAGCTCCACTTTTGAAAGAATCTTCTTTGAAAATATGTAAATGCAACCCCTAAAAACACATGTTTATGATGCAGCTGAGCAGTCTTGGGTTACTGGCAAGCAAAAAGGCATATTTAAATATTTAAACCCTTTAAAGTTATTTTATATGCCCAAGCCGCTAAAAGTGTAACAACCCGCTCAGTGTCGGTGGTGAAAATTCAGTATGCATGTCATCCCTGATGATAATTATTTTTTTTTTTTTTTTTTAAAATTCTGAATTGTGTTATTTTATATACTTGTCTGTTTATTTATGTTTGGGATTTTTTAATAAAGTGTTCTGCTACAGCAGGGCAGGGTTGTAGTAAGTTAACCAGATCCCAACCAAATTCTGCATTCATTTGCAAAAATCCTACTAAACATGAGGCATAATTAGTCATTCAGGAGAATTCATGGGTGCCGTTCACAATTCATCTCTCATCATTCATGTGTGCTTTTGGCAGTAGTGACACACACACACACACACACACACACACACACACACACACACACACACACTGCCTGCATCCATATGTCTTTCATTTTTATTTTTTTATTTTCTTACCATTCATTCTTACAGATGTTTTGCTTGAGAGCACGAAGGCTCAGTACAGAGCACAGGTGCACCCCTCCACCGCCTGCCCCCCAACCATATTTGGTGTACCTTTCGTAGTATTGTGCTACACACACGAAGGCCTAACCTTCCAAATGTCATCACTGTTCAATGAGCAACACAGGTGGTTTATTGTTCTCCTCAGTCTTGTCAGCAGCGCATGGGCGTGACAGCGGCGCGATCTAATATCCTCGTGATCTGCAAAATGATTTTATTCTTTACATTTCAAGTGTTTGATTGAATTAACATAAAAATAATTTGACATAATTTTCAAATCTTCTCTAGGCTCCACTAGGATGACTTTGTTATTGGGCTCTGCTGACGTCCAGCATTTGATTTATTGTTTCAATAATATTTGTAAATGTCAGGCATGCCATGATGCAGATATGTGGATGAGACATGAAGCATAATTTCAATTTTA